GAGGTTTAAGTGACATATAACATTGTATAAGTTTAAGGTATACAGAGTGTTTGACACACTTACATAGAGCAAAATGATTATCACTTTAGGGTTAGTTAACACCTCCATCACCTCACATAATTTCCATTTCTTTCTTGTGGTAAGAACATTTAAGACTTTTACTCTCAGAAACTTTCAGGTATATAATACAGTATTGTTAATTATATCACCATGTTATACATTAGATCCCCAGAATTTATTCATCTTATAACTGGAAGTGTTGGCCACCATCTCCCCGCTTCCCCTACTCCTCACCATTCTGCTGTTTCTGTGAGTTCAGGTTTTTCAGATTCCACATTTAAGTTATATGATACGGTACTTAACGTTCTCTGTCTGATTTATTTCACTTAGGATTTTTTTTCCCTTTCTTATCGCTGAATAATATTCTGGTGTGTATATATAGGTACCTCATCTTTCTCCATTCATCCGTTGATGGACACTTAGGCTGTTTCTCTGTCTTGGCTATTGTGAGTAATACTGCAGTGAACATGGGAGTGCAGATACCTCTTCAAGATCCTGATTTCATTTTCTTTAGGTATATACTCAGAAGTGAAATTGTTGGATCATATGGTAGTCCTATTAATTTTTGGAGGAACTTTTATACTGTTGTCTGTACCAGTTTACGTTCCCACCACCAGTCCCCAAGGGGTTCCCTTATCTCCACATCTTTGCCAACACTTGACTATTTCTTGTTTTTGGTGATAGCCGTTGTAACAGTTGTGAAGTGATACCTTGTGATTTTGATTTGCATTTCTTTGATGATTAGTGATGCTGAGCATCTTTTCATGTACTTACTCGTTTGTATGTCTTCTTTGGGAAAATGTTCATTTCCTCTACCCATTTTTAAATCATTTTTTTTTTTTACTGAGTTGTATGAGTTCCTTATATGTTTCAGATATCAACGCCTTATCAGATATGATTTGCAAATATTTTCCTCCACTCTAGTTTAGCTTTTCATTTTGTTAATGGTTTCTTTTGTCATGTAGAGCTTTTTAATTTAATGTAGTCCACTTAGTTACTTTTGTTATTGTTGCTATGCTTTTGTTGTCCTACCCAAAAAATCATTGGCAAGCTCATTGTCAAGCACCAGTGTTTTCTTCTAGAAATTTTATGGTCTCAGGTCTTATGTTTAAGTCCTTAATCCATTTGGAGTTAATTTTTGTGAGTGGCATTAAGGTAGAGGTCCAATTTCATGCATGCAGTTATCCTTCTGCATGTGATTATCCGGTTTTTCCAGTATCATTTATTGAAGACAGTATCCTTTCCCAGTGAATATTCCTGGCTCCCTTGTCAAAAATATTAATTGTCCATATATGCCAGGATTTATTTCTAGGTTCTTGATTCTGTTCCACTGGTCTATGTGTCTGTTTTTATGCCAGTACCATACTGTTTTTGATTACTACAGTTTTGTAGCACAGTTTGAAATCAGAAAGTGGTGCCTCCAGCTTTGTTCTTTGCTTTGGCCATTCAGAGTCTTTAGTGGTTCCATACAGATTTTAGGATTTTTTTCTATTTCTGTGAAAAACGCCATTGAAATTTTGATAGGAATTGCATTAAATCTGTAGATTGCTTTGGGTAGTATGGACATTTTAATTTTTGTCTCCTACGTCTTTCAGTTTTCAGTAAACGGAATCTTTCACCTTCTTGGTTAAGTTTATTCCTAAGTATTTTATTGCTTTTGATGCATTGTGATTGGAATTGTTTTCTTTATCTCTTTTTCAGATACTTCATTGTTAATGTGTAGTAACACAACTGATTTCTGTTATCTTGATTTTGTACCATACAGCTTCCCTGAATTTGTTGATTAGTCCTAACAGCTTTTTGGTGGAGTCCTTAGGATTTTCGGTATAAAAGATGACATCTGCAAACGAATACACCTTTCCAATTTGGATGCTTTTTATTCCTTTTCCTGCCTGATGGCTCTGGCTAGGACTTTCAGTACTGTGTTGAATAGGAGTGGTGAGAGTGGGCGTTCTTGATCTTAAAGGAAAAGCTTTCAGCCTCTCACTGTTGCTTATGATATTAGCTCTGGTCTTGTCATATATGGGTGCTTGATTATGTTGAGGTACATTCCTTCTATACCTAATTTGTTGAGAGCTTTTATCATGAAAGAATGATGTTTTGTCAAATGTTTTTTTCTGTATATATTAAGATGACCATATGATTTTTATCTCCTATTCTATAAATGTGGTATATCACATTTATTGATTTGCATATGTTGCAGCCATTCTTGCATCCAGGGATAAATCCCACTTAACTGTGGTGTATGATCCTTTTCATGTGCTGTTGAGTTCAGCTTGCTAGTATTTAGTTGAGGATTTTTACATCTATGTTCATCAGGGTTATTGGGCTGTAATTTTCTTTCTTATGTCCTAATCTGACTTTGGCATCAAGATAATGCTGGCTTCAAAAAATGAGTTTGAGACCTTGGAAAGGATTGCCTTTAATTCTTTAAATGTTTGATAGGATTTTCCAGGGAAACCATCTGATCCTGGGCTTTTCTTTGTTGGGAAATTTTTGAGTACTGATTGAATAGTCTTACTTATGTTAGTCTGTTCAGATTTTCTATTTCTTCTTGATGTCAGCATGTTGTGTATGTTTCTAGGAGTCTATCCATTTCTTGTGGGTTATCCAGTTTGTTGGTGTATAATTATTCATGGTAGTCTCCTATGATCCTTTGTTATTTTTGTAGTGTCAGTTGTAACCTCCCTTCTTTCATTTTTCATTTTATTTGAGTCTTTTCTTCTTTTTTAGTCTAACTAAAAGATTTATCATTTTGTTTTTTTTCGAAAAAACCAGCTCTTAGTTTTGATATTTTATATTATTTTTCTGATTTCTATTTCTGCTCTAGTATTTGTTATTTCTTTCTGCCAACTTTTCACTTTGTTTTTCTTTCTGTTTCCTTAAAGTGTAAAGTTAGGTTGTTTATTTGAGATTTTTTTTTAATATAGGCATTTATTACTATAAAATTCCCTCTCAGAACTGCTTTTGCTTCATCCTATAAGTTTTGACATGTTTCCATTTGCTTTTGTTTCAAGATATTTTTTGATTTCTTCTTTTACCCATTGGTTGTTTGGAGTGTGTTGTTTAATTTTCACATATTTGTAAATGTTCCCATTTTCTTTCTATTGTTGATTTTTTTGTTTCCTGCCATTTTGGTCAGAAAGAGAGTTGGTATGATTTCAGTCTTCTTAAATTTGCTAAGACTTGTTTTGTAACCTGTCATATGATCTATCCTAGAGAATGTTTTGTGTGCACTGGAGAAGAATGTGTAGTCTGTTGCTATTATATGGAATGTTCTGTATATTCTTAGATCTGTTTTATCTAAAGTATACTTCAGGCCTAATGTTTTCTTTTTCATTTTCTATCTGGATGATCCATTCTTTAAAGTGAGGTATTAAAGTGCCCTCCTATTATTTATTGTTGCATAATCTCACTTCAGATCTGCTTTTATTTGCTTAATATACTTAGGTTCTCTAATGTTGGGTGCATGTTTATTTGTCATTACTATATCCTCTTGATGAATTGACCCTTTATCATTAAAAAATAACCTTCTTTGTCACTTGTTACCACTTTTGGCCTGAAGTCTATTTTTTCTGATACAAATGTAGCTACCCCTGCTCTCTTTGGTTTCCATTTGCATGGAATTTCTTTTTCCATCCCTTTACTTTGAGCCTGTGCGTCCTTAAAGCTGAAGTGGGTCTCTTGTAGGCAGCATATCGTTGGGTCTTGCTTTTTCAGTCCAGCCAGCCACTCTGTGCCTTTTGCCTAGAGAATTTGGTACATTTACATTTATAATAATTATTGATAAGTAAGGACTTAACTAATACTATCTTATTAATTGTTGCCTAGCTATTTTGTAGTTCTCTTTTTCCTTTCTCCCTCTCTTGCTGCCTTCTTTTGTGACTCGATTTTCCATAGTGGTATTGTTTGATTTCCTTCTCTTTATCTTTTGTGAATCTAACATAGATTTGTGCTTTGTGGTTACAATGAGGCTTACATAAAATATCTTAACACTCTATTTTATACTGATAACAACAAAACTTATATTACATACAAAAACTCTATTCTTATTCCTCCATTTTATATTTTTGTTGTTACAACTTACCTCTTTTTATATTGTATATCATAAACAAATTATTGTAGCTATAGTGATAACTCTTTCCTTTAATCTTTATACTAGTATAAAGCAGTTGACACATTACCACATTATAGTATCATAATACTCTGAATTTGACTGTATACTTTACCAACCACATTTTGTTTATCCATTCATCTTTTGATGGGTATTTGGGTTTCTCCCTTTTAGGTACCATGAATACTATAGGTCCCACCTATAGTTCTAATTTAATTGTAGTCGGAAGGGCTAATCAAGCCACAAAAGATTATACTAGGAGGTCATATGATCTGTTGTTCTTTTCATCCTTGTTAGAATAGTAGCTTTATATAGACATTGAACCCCTAATAAAGTTCACATCCCAGATAACCTAGTAATACTAGTGAACTAGTCATGTGGGTGTGCTGATTCTATGCCAGTGATAGATATAGTCATTCAGGAATACATTATTTGCTTCTCTGCCTTGAACATCATCTGGTAACCTTATCTTTCAAAGGTTGAGCCTGTCCAAAAGTGTTTACTTTCTTTCATGTTATTGATTGCACACAGGAACTCATAAGTTGGAAGAGGTAACCACTCTTCTGAAGATACAAAAATGGTGGGCAAGTAGATGATTATTGAGACAAGATAGATTTTTGTTGTTCTTGTGAAAAGTTCGGTGCTTTTTTTGGTGTGTTTTTTGATGTTTTGGTGTGATGGTGGTTCCTTTTGGGAGGAGACAAAAAGGACGGGACTGAAGCAGAAAGAATAGTGATGCATATAATTTTGAAAGATACCTTAAAAAATAGTTGTTTATTACTGTTTTAAAGTGTTTTCTAACAAGGAACTGTGACTTCTTTTTCAGACTGCACTGGCACATTTAGAGTCTCTTGCAGTGGATGTTGAGGTGGCCAATCCACCAGCCAGTAAGGAAAGCATTGATGGTCTTCCAGAGACCCTTGTTCTTGAAGACCACACTGGTAAGGGCAAAGTTAATCTCTAATGTCAAATGACACATTGCATGTGTAAGTATATTATCAATCCACCTGAAAGATAAAATACTGACTTAGGAATTTTCATTAGTTTTTCTATGAAACCAAATTCTGACAAACTTTCACCTAGTAGAATATTTTTAACTTATTAAGTCATGGGCTGGAACAAATGTGCCCCAGCCAACTTTTCTACAAAAGGAATATTTATTACATTCCGAATTGTCATATATTACAGAAACATGTTTGGCAATTACTTTTTTGAAGATTGGTTCTTCTATCATAAGTATCATCTGTGAGTTAATATGTTGATTTTCAGTTTTATTAAAATTGAACTCTGTGGGATTGATCAGATTATTTTTTGTTTTCAGCAATTGGTCAGGAGCAGTGCTGTCCAATCTGTTGCAGTGAGTATATTAAGGATGATATAGCAACAGAGCTTCCCTGTCACCATTTCTTTCACAAACCTTGTGTCTCAATTTGGCTACAGAAGGTGAGTTTTATTTTAACTTTTTGCAGTTAATATTTTAATAGTTCTCCTGAAAGTTAATGATGATAGTAACTTTTAAGCCTATTTTATTCAGCTACATACTTGCAGTACTTTTTAATTAAGTGTTAAAAATTGATTACCTCTTAGTGATTACAGATTAATGATAATATGAAACTATTTTACTAACATTTCTAAAAAATAATATAGACAACACTAATTGCTTGACATATTTAATCAGTTTTGGAAATGATTCAATATCAAAAAATCATTTTAGGATAAAGCTAATTAGATCTTTAATCATATCCCTGAAATTTGTGTTTTCAAAAACATCATAAGCAAAAAAAAAAAGCCTTTGGCACTACTCGAAGTATTGTAATAATATACAGATATTCTGCTAATACAGATCATTGTCTTTGAAAATGTATATGAGAAATATGTAATAACCTACCAGGTACCTCCTATTCCAGCTATATATATTCTCCCTAAATATTTACCCAGTAATTTTTAACTACATTTGAATTACTTGAGAACAAAAGAGTCTTACTTAAATCCTCTCTGTGCACTCTTATTTTTACATAAAGTATGTTTACAGGCAGTAAGGTAGAAATTTCCAAATCACTTTCACAGCTTATTTACTTAGGGATATAACGCCCTCTCTTCCCTACAGGCACTCCCTTCCTTTTCCCCTTCTTTCTCCCTCCCCTTCTTCCTCCTTTCTTTCCTTTCTCTTTCTTTGCTGTTTGCTACCCTTCTGCTGCCACTTCATGGTTGTCAAAGTTCTACTTAAGATTTGTAAAATCCAATGCGGAAATGTTCACCATTCCATTATAAAATCTGAAATTTCTCTCGGCTTTCAAGGCCTTCTGTGATCTAGCCCCCAGCCTCTCTGTTTACATTTACTCCTCTGTACATTTGTTTATGTTTGCTTAGCTGGTGTAGTTTTCCCCCTGTACCATCTGTAAGATTAGATGATCTAGGTAGGGCCAGCTTAAATTCCACCTTTTTTGTCCTTCATATCCCCTTTATTTAAATTCTCATGGTAGTATCTAAGCCTGAAGAAGGATCTAAATGTTCCTGCTATGTGTCAGGCACTGGTACATGACCTGTGTATTTTCTCATTTAATTCTCACAATAACTCTGGGACATACCGGGACATATCCTTATTCGCATTTTCCAGTGACTTTTACTCATCCAAGGCTACGCCAGCTGGTATGTGGTGGATGGAGACCACACTCATCTGACTCTAAAATGTTGTTCAGGCCCAGACCATATGGCGGGTGCACAATAAATGCTTGCTAAATCAAATTCTTGAATTGTAAACATTATATATGTTGTACAGCTTTGAATTGTCATTGACTTGGCTATGACCCCAAGTAATAATCTCCTTGTCTCTTTCCCGTCAAGAAAAAGCCTTTCCTCTGGGGAAAAGATCCCCAAGATACAAATCTTTGTTCAACAGCGCGATTTCTATCAGGGCTGTCTCTTTGGGGGAGAAAACATATTCTTGAGGGGATAATCTATCACCAGATGACACATCTCTATCATCTTTGGTCCAAAGATGTACTCAGAGTATGACTGTTTTCCTTGTCCCATCTTCCCTCCTAGCTCTACAGTTGATTTCTTTCATCAGTTAGAAGGCACTTCACTCTCCACATCTTTTTCAAAAGGATGGCTAATAAAGGTCTGAGGCCCATCTGTTTTGACATACACTTGAGGCTTTGGTATATGTAAGGGAAGTCCGTCCTAGGGGATGATTTGGTGTTAATAAATATGTGAATTAATCAGGTCTATGGTTTCTCTAATGTAGGCATCATGGAGTAAATAATAAAGCTAATTCAGTTCAGGTGAGGACATGCACTGTGACTCCTTGCTCACATTCCACCGTAGCACAGTGCTGAGCAAGGAGTGTAGTAGACTCTCTGTTAATCCTGAATGAAAGATGACTGACCTGAAAGGTACAAACATGATTAGGAGACGCTATTCACCCTCAAAGAAATTAGAATCTGATTGGGATAAAGAGGAAATAGCATCACAATTCTGCCTCTCTGGATTGGGTGGCTTTGAAGTTGATTCATTTTTTTTTTGTTTTGTTTTTTAAGTTTTTTTTATTTGTTTTTAGGATACCAATACTGGTTTTTCTTCTTTGCTAAGATATTATATGGCAGTTAGGACCCTTCCTTTGGCTCTGACCTTGTTTTCCTCCCCCTCCAGTCGGGAACATGCCCCGTGTGCCGCCGCCACTTCCCACCTGCCGTCATCGAGGCATCGGCAGCTGCGTCCTCCGAGCCTGACCAGGAGGCCCCCCCTTCTGGCGACAGCTCTGCGGAAGCCCCCTAAACCTTAACCCTTGAATGAGATCACTCTGTCAAAGTCAATCTGCAAATTCCTTCTCAATCTGATGTGCAAATAATTATATATAAATAAATTTAAAATGCTATATATAGTCTATGCCATAGTTTAGAAAGAAGAATATTAACCTTTCTAAACTAAATTTAGGTTCACAGAAAGTACTAAACATTTTCAAGCTGAATGTTGAAGCAGTGCATCCATTTTCTTTTGTTGAATACGTTGGTATTGTAAAGTCAAGCTTACCAAATTAACTCTCTCCAGAAGAAATAATCATATATGTGGCACATATTATTGGTTTTGTCCGAAGTACTGCCACTAAGTGATTATAATTAAGCTCTCCTATTTGCATCAAATGTGAAGACTGTGATCACAACAGTAGTAAAATTTGGTTTCATTGGAAATAAAAAGAATTCTAAAACATGCTTTTTTCATTGGTTGCTTTGCTTTTGCTACATCAGAACCTCTTGGTTCATAATACTGAGTGGTTTCTTTAGGAAGGTGTCTACTCTTCCATCTTTGTTTAAAATTAGGACTTTTTAGAATGCCAAACCAAGGCCAAAATTTTGGCTTAAACATCGCAAGATTTTAAAATCTTAAACGTAATCCCCTTGGAATGGTTAGACAGTAAAATAATTTTTTTTCCTTTTTCTAAATGGTGGATGTGCTTAAAGTAAGGTTAGCAAAGCATGAGTGTTTTACTATGGTTGGTGCTTCCGGTAAGGTTAGTAAAACTTATGAACAATCTAGTGTGCTCAGTGTTTGGTATGATGAGGTGAATTAGATGGCCTTATGAAATCCTTTCTCCCTTTCTGCCTGGTTACAGTTACACTTGAGAACATTCATGGCACATTTGTTAAATAAATACTGGTTTTTTAATTTATAAATTTATAAATAAGTATGTTTATAAATTTATAAATATTAGATACAGTTTGTTTAAAGTAATTTTGGTTCTGAAATATTTTGGAAAGTCTGAAAACATGCATCAAAGTGTTTAAACATTCATTCTGTTGTATCCCAAGAGGAAATCTGATCCTTAAAAAACTGGAAGGTTAATTGTACCAATCTGTATAAAGCATAAAATTGATGGGGTATAGGACAGATTTGGCCATGTCTTTTTACAACATATCTAAACCTTTGTTATAATTTATTCCTTTAAAGTATTCCTGAACAAGGATTATTCACAGTTACATTTTCAGTGTTTGTTTCTTTACACTCATTTATTTTGATAAAATTATTCACCTGGAAATAAATAATAAAAATGGGTTGTTTCGAATTAAACCAAATTAAGCCTGGGTGAAAAGGGAGTAGTATACTATATGATCACCTAGTGACTATGAGCAGAACTGAACATGTAACATGGTTCCTTTCTTACTTTCCTTTCTCTAAAAGGGAAAAGAAGACCCTGACCCCAGATTTGCCCTCTAATAAAACAGTTCTGTTCCGATTCTTCTATAAAAGTGAAGAAATGAGCTTTCCTTAGTTGTTTTTATGGGAAATTCGGCCTTTAGGGTCATCCGTAATTATATAATCCCAAAATAAGATTGCACAGCTTTCCATTTAGGTGATTACACCCAGTAGGCAAATATGTACAAAGATGGACATAATATTTAACTTCCAGATGTGATTTGCTATCAGTACCGAGAATGATAGGTGTTAGAATACCGCATTTGAGCAAGTAAAATTGTAAAGCACGTAGTGAGTGTACATCCATCTGAGTAGTACATTATTTAGTTTGGACACGTAAAAGGAAAATTTATATGGCTTCCCAAATGCAAAATTACATTTTATTTGTGTAATTTCTCTGAGTATTTATATTACATCTCTTTTCTCCATTCTTAAATGAATTTTCACTGTTGGCACATTTGAGGCTTAAATATAAGGAACATAACACTTGCATTCTAATTTTTGCATATATTGTAAATGTGTGTCTGGTATTTACAGCAAAATACTGTGTATCCTTTTATGGGTAAAACAAAATTGAACATTGCATGCATGTAATGTGGTGACTTTGTAATTTAGGGGTTCTTTGGGGCTTCTGTGACTTTGGAAATGCTTACATTCAGGCCTTAATGTTGCATTAGCTAGCATGTTTTCCTTCTGATGTATATAGTCACTGTTGTATAAACTAATCTTTGCTTGTTTTCTACTCTGTGATCTTTCCATACCATATTTCATTGATGATCAGTTAGTGTCAAGGAGTCAAATCAGATTAAAATTAATTCTCATGTGTATATTGTGGAACTTTGTGGCTAGTGTGATTTTTTTTATTTTTTTCTTTTCTTTTTCTTGTTTCTTTTTTGTTGTTTGTTTCCTTTAAGTAATACTGATCAGTTGTGATGCTTACTGGTTAAACTGACATTGCTACAGATTGCTCTGTAGTAAGCCACAAATTATATTTAGGCAGTATTAAGGGACATCAGTTTTCTTCTCCTAGTAGCAGCTGTCCCAAAGAAAATATTTCTCCTTTGCCTGTTAAGATTTACCTATTATCTGCCAGTTGTTAAGAGGTTTTGGTTCCAAACTCAGCCAGTAGTGTTGAGAGCTGAACTTAAGATAGCGGTTGTACTTTTTGCTTTCCATCTGTTTCTATCCTTCATTCTTGGCTCCCTACTATCTATAAACAGCTGCTATGAAGGAGAAAAGTTGAGTAAGAGTTGGCTTAAAAAATTTTTTTTAAGAAAATTCAGATCTTAGGATTTTCATTGTAACAAGTTGATACAAACAAAGGTAGAAAAGTTCAGATACCAAAATATTGTTTGATCCTCTGAAATACTGTTTGGATCCTTTTGGAAAAGTTAAGAATATATGAAGGTAAATTAGGAATAAGTATAAATATTGATAAAAATATTGTTTCTCTTATTTCTCTATGTTAAGTGACTTGACCTAATAATTTTATTTTTTTTAAACATTTTCTTCCTTGTAATATGAATGCTGATATTTAAAGGTAGATCCATGTGGTTTTCTATTGTGTTTCTTGTTTATCTCTGAGCTAACTCTTAAGATTATTTGTGATTTGGATTTATATATAAGCTGTTAAATATATATGAACTGTTAAAATGGAATGCAAGTTTTCAAAAGCCCAGGTCTAAATGTATTGATTGGTTTATTGTTCAACAACCCCAGTCCATCATTTTCCGTGTAAATCATAAACAATAAACAGGATGTACTCAGTGGTCATTTCTAATATTTAATTGTGCAGTCACATCACTTCTATAATTTAAACCCCTAGAGGATTTAGCATTAATGGCAAAGAACACAGCTATTAAAAAAGCCTGGAATAGGCTCCTGGGCACATGATTTCATAGTCCTTGAACTGTGACCCAAGAAAGCCCTAACAGCCCAGCTATACAGAAGTGGTTGATGGACTTCTGGAAGGGCTCTGAAGGAGTAGTCCCTGCCCTCTCCTGCCTAAATGTTCTCAGCAATCCTGTGGGTTCAGCAGAGCCTGATTTCCACACTGACTCAGGACTGCATAGTTCTGTCCTGACTCAAAGCTCTGGGACAGAGGCCCACCTCGCCTCAGTGGCTTCCTCCAGAACAGGCATAGGACTGTTATCAAATCTACCTGTTGAAGAAGATTCCTCATGACTTCCAGAGGGTTCAAAGACCTCACCCATTTCAGAAGGGTAAATTGAGTGCTGATAGATTATGTACATATTAAATTAGCAAATGAATCATTTTGTTTAGAAGCTTTAGAATGTTTAGAATTGTGATTTCCCCCTTAATAGAATAGATACTTGCTAGAAAATAGCCTTGGAGCTAGAGACAGGGTTGGCCCACCTCTTCTCTAGTGTCAAATCCTTTTATAATTGTCATACGATTTTTATCCAACCACTGCTTCCAGAGTAAGAGCCACTCAGCACTCCCACAAGGGATGGATTTCATTGTTAGAAGTGTGTCACCCACATGTGTTTATAAATAGCACACGTGACACTAGACAGAAAGGTCCGGTTTCTTCTGTGTGGTCACCTCTTCATACCTTCCCTCAGGCTTCACATTTTTCTCAGTTCTCACATGATGTCCATTCCAGACCAACCTGGCATTGGCCCTTTCAATCCCTCTTAAAATACATTGTTCAGCACTAAACACAGTTCTTCGGTGGTCTGATAAGAGCAGGGTCCAGAGGCTTTATTGCCAGCTTCAGAGTGATTCTCATGACTGTTAACGATTGGAATATGTTGATGTTACCCGTTACCATCACCATTAGGGAAGCATATCATACTGTTGTCTCTTGCTGAACTTTACAGGCATTGCTGGCAAGCCAAATCCATTCCTAAAATTCCTTAGACAATTTCTTGTAACCTAATTGAAGCACTGCATTCATCCTTATTTGATTTTATTTTTAAAGGTCCTTATGAGTTCTGATTCTTTCTCTTGGCCTTGTGTCCATTTCAGTTTTGATGAAGCATGCCTGTAGTATTTAGTGGCTTTGTTCAAGTTTATGATAAATATTGAACAGAACAAGATGAAATGCAGACCCTCGTGAGAATACTTCTAGAGCCTGTGCTCCAGGTGACTTTGATCCATTAATCAGTACTTTAGGGACAGCTGTAGAAGCAACTGCCAATCACTTATGTGCTCATGATTCTTCATCTTTCCTAAAAGGACACTATAAGAAATTTTGTCATGTTTGACAGACAAGCAGATTGCACTGTCTGTGGAAGTAGCCTAATCTGCTAATACATTAAATCAAGAAAGGAAATGAAGTTAGCTGGAAATGCCTTATTCTCAGTGAAACCACACTACCTCCTTTTCCAACTGCTCACATGCCATCTGTTTATTAATCAGCCCTAGAATTTGGTAAGTGATAAATGTCAAGCTCATTTTTATAATTTTTAGAATCTACTATTTTTCCTTTCAAAAATTGCGGTATCTGGTGTAACATGACCTTGACAAGTCACTTAATTTTTCTGCTTGTTTTCTCTATAAAGTAATGAATCAGAATCACAGGTTCAGTACTATTTGTGCATGGGAAAAGGTTTGAAAAAAATGTTCTTTGTTGATACGCAAAGTCATGGGGAAATATGGTTGCTTTCCCTCGTGTGATTTTGGCACTACCTTTGAGGATTGATGAACATTTCAGATGAAAATCATAAAAGCATCTTAATCACCTCTCAAAAGTTGAAAGATTTTGACGGGAACTTTATTAAAATAAATAAAATTTAACCAATAATAATTTTACTAAAAGGCTGCATGCCTGGATATGGCAATTTATTCCATTTTGTATTTTTAGTTTATAATCAATATACAGTTTTTACAGGGAAAATCGGAAGGAGGAGGTCTTTATCTTTTTAGAAAGATACCACCTCTTAGCCATTTACTGCAGTAAGAGAAATTCTGCAAGCCACTATAATTTGATTATAACACAGCATCTCTTACTAAGATTCATTGAAAAAAATGCATTCTTTATTTATACTTTTTATTTATTTGACAGCACAAGCAAGGTGCAGAGGCGAGGGGAAAAGGCAGAGGGAGAGGGAGAAGCAGACTCCCAGCTGAGTAGAGAACCCCAGGTGGAGGCTGTATCCCCAGGACCCCAGGATCATGACCTGAGCCTAAGGCAGACGCTTAACTAACTGAGCCACCCAGGGTCCAGAAAAAATTTTTACGTTATAAGAATAGTTTGTTTATGAAATGCTAGACATTGTGTTAGGCTTTCTGTTTTAATCTTCGTAATGAATTTGCAGGGTAGGTGGTTTTTTCCCAACCTCACAAATTAAAAAATTGAGTCCTGGTTCTTAAGAGCTCAAGGGTTCTTATTCATGCCACCTTCCTGGATAGGAGCAGCCTATCTGATCATTGTTAATATTTAAATAACTTGTTTGGGATGCAGTCTGCATTTTAAAAATGAGGAAAAGAAACGGGGCG